GAGTTGAGGTAAACGTTACTAAAATCTATTTCTGCTCTGTAGGTCTTGTTCATGGTCTCGGCATGAACGAATCTGAATTAAAATATAATCCATCTCTCAACAATGGTTACACCGTTCAAAATTTAAATACAAATCCATCTCTCACACAATTCTCTTCTAATTCATTTGATTCAGTTCTTTGCTCTGTTTCTGTTGATTATCTTATCTATCCGTTAGAAGTATTCAATGAAATTGGACGTATATTAAAACCAAGTGGTCAGTTCATTACTTCATTTTCTAATCGTTATTTTCCAACAAAAGTTATTGGAAGATGGATAAAGATGAATGAACAACAGCGTGTTGAATGGATTGCAAATTACTTCTTATCGACGAACATATATTTTGATCCAAAGACAGTGAAAGCATACTCATTTTTTGATAATATTTTTTTGCCAGCTAGAGATGGTGAATTTCGAGATCCAATGTATATTGTTCTTGGACAGAAGAAAACAGCATAAAAAAGCTTTTTTGTGCATCATTCAAATATTTCCAGAATTGTGTTGCATTAAATATAGAAAGAGCTGGCAAAAATCAACTTAACATAAAGTAAAATAAGAAATTGGATCGGCAATTGTGAGATTTTCAATTTGATTATTATTAAAAGTGCATTTGTTGACACGACAAACATTGTTATACCGTATACAGAAGACTTCAGTGTTACAATTTTTAACGAATAAATTGTTGAGTAAATTGCCAATAGTCGTTCCAGTTATATACTGAAGTTTATGTAGCAACTAAATTGATGTTACATTCATGAGCTAAATCTAACTGGGTGTGGATGTGTTGGTGTGGGTATCTATTTTATCAACACCCACACCCAATCAGTAAGGGTTGGTATCAATGTAATAATTGATGACAATCGTATTTTTAGAAGGTTGTTGATATAATATAGGAAAGAGAAAAATATATCTACATTTAGTCTATTATAATCATGAAGATTATTTGTTGTTTATTATTATTTATTCTTCTGATTAAATGTACAGAAGCGAAAAAAGTTCATCATACGTATGTAGTTGTACGAAATGTAACAGCTCCTGGAAAACCAATGTATGGATTTAGAATATTCGATTCAAAAGAAAAAACATGTTTATATCGAATAAGAGTTTTGTCGAAGGATGTGGATACTGCTATACTTGTTGATAATTTTGGAAAGAATATAATAGCTAATCTTGAAGGTATATGGATAGAAAAATTAGTTAACGTTACGTTTTCTATTTATGATTCAAAATTAAATAAATGGACAGATGGATTTATACAACGAAATTATCATTTATTTTCTTCTGATTATATAATTCAATTTAATAATCAGCAATTAATTGCAAAATCGAAAGACTCTTCAAAAAACGTTAAAGTTTATGATAAAAAGAAAAATGAATTATTAGCTCAATTTCGATATCGTACTCGATGGCTATTTTCGAAATCGGTCAAATATGATTTGAAAATCTATTCAAATCAAGTACCTGATGCTATTTATTTTTTCTTAGTATTAATTTTGGATCATCGAGGTCATGCTGGCGATACCTAATTACATTGAATTTAATTATTTGCATGCTTTATTTAAATAATACACAGTTGAAGAATTATTTGCATCTTTTGTTTACTGAATGAAGATTACGATTATTTTTATCAATAAAACTTCTATCAATTTTTAGTTTTCTTTACTACATTGTTGTAAAACTTTTACAATAATTTTCAAAATAAATCGTTCTTGGTTAGAGAGATGAAATCGAATCTGAATGACGACTATTTTTGTTATAAATGATAGTTTTCTGTAGATTTTCTTTGATTTTTTTTGAATTCAAATGTATATGGTATTGTTGTTTAGATACTACAAAATCAAATCATTTTTAAATTTCTTAGGCTAATTGTTTTAATGAAAAAAATCGTACTTGAAATTGTTCACAAAATCGTTCGGACAAAGAAATAGATACTCTTTCTGAACGAAAAATTGGTGAAAGTAGTGGGAACTAGAAAGCAGAAAACCTGATAACTTACTATTCTCCTGAGTATTTCGACCGACAGCAGCGTCCTTATGGCAGGAACTCTGACAAAGTTACGGATCCACCAGCCAGAATCATTGACATGCAGCTATATTTTTAGTTTTACTCGATCAATCAATGATGCCTTTGTTGTTATGTAGTCCTAACCTATAGTTTCAACTACTAAACTTTAATTTAATGGACACAAAATCAGCAGAATTTATTGGCTAACAGGTCTTTAGAATGAATGGAAGCAAAGTATCGAAACACCATTTTCGACTTAAGAAATATGTGTGAACTCTGGGATTATCGAACAGTTTGCTTTCTTCCATTTGAGTTTTCTAAAAAGCCATTATTTAAGTATAAGTTTTCTATTATAACACTCAAATATGTTTAGAATTATGTGCAAAGTGTCAGTTTTTACTTCTTATATATCCTTATTTTTTGTTCAGATTAGTCACATATCGTTTTCGATATGAGTTTGAACGCTCTTATTGTGAAGTAAGTTTACAAGGTATTCGATTGTCAATGTAGAAATGGAGAGCATTAGCTACTTTTAGATTAGCATGAAATAAGTTTATTTTACCCGACATTGCCATAAAAGCTACCCTAATGGAAATACTCATCAAGCAAGTACGACTTGCCAGCATGAGTACTCATCCTCGTTTTTTGGCAGAATGTGTAACAAAACATCAATGCACTATCATAAACAAGAATAAAATTAATTTATATCAAAAAAGGAAAATGATGAAATGAAATGAAAAATAGAGAAGAAGTATTTTGACCATTCGTCTATTTTATCTTCTATTTTTAACTAATGAGTCACTTCTATGTGCATGTAGATACATAAACAATAATTCATCCAATTTTAATTCCTAAATTTTAAATGAAATATTATTTTACATTAGTATACAATATTTCGGATAAATTAAGAAAATTAATGAAACAAATAATGAATAATAATAATTTCTGATATAAATCAATTAGATTTCAATATTCTGAAGGTACATTCGTTCTACCAATGACAGTAAATTTATTAGTTATTTATGTTTCTATATTACTAATAAATGAAAATTTAGTTATTGATTTAAAATGTTCGTTTGTTGTTTTTTTTCGTAATGACCTGTTTGATGCGTTTATTGTTTATTGCATGTCTTAATTTCGAGAATAATTCAAGATTCACCTGCCGTTAAGGATGTTGTGCTGTCTTCAAAACGTGTTGTTTTGTGCACTGTTTCTTTTTTTTTCCTGAAGATAAAAAGTCTATCTCTGTATTCTATCAAAAAAAAAATGACAATGTAGTATCTTCATTTCTCAAAATCTTCTCATGTACGCTTGTAACTCATTAGTAATTGTTTAATAAAATAAAACGAATATAGTACAACAATACTGAACAAAATATAGGTCTATGAGTATTTTACAAAAACCCATCAAAAAGTGTATGATGAGTACTTGTAAAACACTCAACTTGACAAGATAAGTACTTGGTAGTCGTACTCAAATATTCAGATTCTAACACGAGTACTATTGATGAGTACACAAAGTCAGATGAAAGAAAACTTTTCTAGTGTTCCATATAGAAAATAGCCTTAACTGAGAACCATAGACTTATGTTTCGTTGTAATGAGTATGGTAAAATAAATGATCTTCTTAATATTTTATTGATATCTCGAGCCGCGTGATTTTTATCTTTTTTGAACAGATTTACCTTAGAATTCTATACAAAATGGTATAATCATCTAAACTAATACATATTACTCTCCCTCTCTAAATTTAAAGAAAGAGATCATAAACGGCTCTGTAAATCTCCATTTTGTTTCACAGACAAAAGTATAGTGTTATTTTTCAAGTATCTTAGATTTGGTTATGACATGTTTACAATTTTCATTTTAAGAATTAATCTATTGTAAATAATTATCTGAAGTAGACTAGAAAATATTTAAAAAAATCATAAGCATATCATACTCAAAAGCAAAACACTGTAAAAATAACATTGTTTCTCTCTTAAAAACGTTTCTACTTATGACGACAAGGATCTTGTTAATGAAAAAATTTATTGAATTACATGATCTCGAAATATGTCCTACTTTAAGAAGAAAAATAAAATAAAATATGTAATTCTTAACAACTTTTTCATAGACAAAATAGTCTATCTATCATTTTTAGAATTCAGTTAGGTAGAAAAAATATCAGAAAGACGAAAAAAAAAGCACAAAGCGTAATAATGCTTAACTGCTGTCATATGACATCAAAAGACGACTCAAGGTATTGATTTCCTTCGTAACCTAAACTATTCTTTAATAATAATATTATATCGAATACTGTGACAAACTAGTTTGAAAGTTTGCAAATATGAAAAAACAACAATAAACATAAAAACTTAGAAATCGACATTTGATGTAGTTTCATGAGAGAGAGATTCGTTTTATTAAGAACGTGGTGTCAAATTAAATATTTTATCTGTGTTGTTGTCAACATGATATAACACCAGAACTTATTCTTGTCGACTATTATTTTCTCTTCTCGTTCTATTCTGAATTATCAATTAAGTAAAAAGTATTTAGTTGAAGTAATATTTTCCATTTAATGTCAATGTTCAATATTTTATTTGACGTGAAGATTGAAGAAACGACACCGCTCTGATCATCAAGTTGAACCTTCTCAGAATTTGTGATTATAGTATTATATAGACCAAAAAATAGATGTTTGACCTTAAGCAATGGCGAAAATTTTCTTCCTGAATGAGAAAGTCTAGATAAAACATTGTAAACGCTATTTGTTTCTTGTTTTTATGATAAATTGAATAATGCAAGCAGTAAGTGTTGATAGCAATATATAATAATTGATGACAATTCAGTTTCTAGAAGGTTGGTATAATATGGTAGAAATGAAGATACATCAGCATTTAATCTATGATCATCATGAAGATTATTTCTTGTTTACTATTATTTATTCTTCTTATTAAGTATATTGAATCGAAAAGAGCGATTCGTACGTATGTACTGGTACAAAATGCAAGAAACAGTCGACTTGAATTCGATGGATATACAATATTTGATTCAAAAGAAAAAACAAGTTTATATCGATTAACAGCGTCAAGGAGTGATATCGATAGTGCTATACTTTTTGATAATTCTGGAAACAATATAATCGCAAATCTGGAAGGTATATGGATAGGTAACAAAATTAATGTTACATTTTCTATTTATGATTCAAAGTTAAATAAATGGACAGATGGAATTATACGAAGAATTGCTCGTTGGTTTTATGTTGATTATATTGCTGAGTATAATAATGAACAAGTGATTGCAAATCGACAAAATATGGTGAGAAAAGGAAAAATTTATCTTAAAAAGAAAAATGAATTATTAGCTAAATATCAAGCTCGTTCTCAATTGTTCGGTAACATAGCTCTTAAATATGATTTGAAAATCTATTCGAATAAAGTACCTGATTCTATTCACTTTTTCTTATTATTA